CCTCTTTCTCCAGCAAAGCATCTGGTGGATTCGAACCTTATACCTCTGGGATTGCAGTGCAGCTTCTTGCCACTAGGCCACCAGAGCTCCCCAAGATTACATGTCTCAGAAAGCCTGTGGGGCAGTTCGGCTTTGTGAGTTGGAACCAAAATTGGCCAAGGGGTTTTGTTATTATAATCCCATCTTAATGGCTGAGGAAACGGAGGCCTGGGGAGGCAGAGACAGCTGCCCCATGTTGCACAGCACCTGATGGCGCTGGGCTTAGAGGACTCAGTGGTGTTCACGGCCATGGACCTGCTCTCTCCTGCCGCACCAGCTCTCCCCCCAGCCTCTCACCTGGTTTTTAAGTGTGAGAGCCATCCTTCAGCTGTTCCTTGGAATCAACACTGAACTTAGCCCCATGTGGTTTAATTGCTGCGCCCTTGGGCACTCAGAGCTTGGACCTGGGCCAGAAGACAGTTTATGGTACAAAGTCCAAACGACATGCCTGGGTGCTTTAAATTGACATCAGCGACACTTTCTGAGCACTTGGCCTTGCCTTCTTATGTAACTTGTGCCTGTATTGTAAAGATGAGAAAAGTGAGTCTTAGAACAGCCAGAACTGTCCACTGCACCCCAGGGGAAAGCAGCAGAGAAAGCTGACACTGGGCCGCTTGAGGACAGCCACTGACTGCTCCTCACTGCACCTCAGTGTTGTCTACAACAAGCAATGAGCATCCAGTCTCATGGCCAAGTTGAAGGGTAGGTGAGCTGCATCCCTTGGGCAGGTAAGTGGCCTCAATGGGAAGACTGGTTTGCTGTCCTTGCCCTGAGTGGCTGGGGTTCAGACAGGTGACCCGGGGTTCTCAGAAGTCTCTTCTCACCTGCAAAGGTGTGGTGGCCCCTGTGCCTAAGAACATGGTGAACTTGACCAAGCTGCTCCTCTTGGGAGAAGCTGCATGCTCTCTGGAGTAAGCATGCTCTGCCATCCTGGACCAAGGAAGTGGGGAGGAAGGTGAATGTCTGGGCAGCTGGTGGGGGTTCAGATTCTGTCCTTTGGCCCTTGTTTCCTTGGCAGCAGAATATAAGAGAAATTCGAGTTTCTGCAGCTTAGGGAGACCAGCGAACCTGTTCGGACCTAGAGTTCCCAGATGCTGAGGGACAGAGTGAAAGGGGCCTTCCAGATAGTTCTCCCCTGGCACTAGGGAAAGGCTTCCTTCACAGTCCTGCCCCAGAATAGATGGAGACTCAGAACTGAGAGCCTTTCCTACCACGGGCTGATGTGAGAAGAAACCTTGGTCCTAGGGCCCATCTTTCTCCAGCAGAGTCGAACTGCTGACCTTTTGGTTAAAAGCCCAGTACATTATGCACTGCTTCACCAGACCTCCCTGATAAGGGAGCACTCAGCTCACTGGCCCATTGCTGTTGAGTTAGAACTGACTCACAACTGACACCCTGGTCGATTTCTGAGGCTGTAAACCACACGGGAGGAGATTGCCCATCTATCTTTCAAGGGGCCACCTATAGGTTCAAAACCCCAGAGAGATATGAACTTTGGGTTAGCAGCACAGCTTCCTACAGACTAGGCTGCTAGAGCACCCAGGTAAGTGAGCAGTGGAGTTAAATATACAGAGAATAGCCTTCACCATGGGCCCCACCACACAGGCAACCAGTGTAGCCCATCATGCATGGCTCTGTGCAAGATTCTGTTGTGACAGAGATCCAGTCAGTACTGGTCAGAGGGGATTTAGTGAAAGGACACAGGGAGTGTCCAAGAAATGATGACCAAAGTCCTCTGTTCTTAGGGAGAAAAAGCAGTTGCTCCTCTAGCAAGCAGACACCAGCTTCATTCTTCCCACAGTCTGGCCTCCTCACTGACTGAGATTCCTGCTCCCATACTCCCAACTCCTAAGACTGATGAGACTCCCCCACCACCCCTAATTGCTATCTAATTATAGCTCTTCATTCAAATTCTACAGCTTTGGGGCTGAATCCCCTTGAGCCAAGTGTTAGCTTGGTATAGTTGGTGTATCAGGGAAAGCCAAAGGTACAAGGAGAGGCAAATGCATTGACACATTTACTACACATACATTATAGCATTGTGTTTACACACAGTTTTCATTATTTCATTGCATTTCTTTCACAGATGAAGAAATGGAAACTTAAACAGACCAATGGCTTACTCAGCAATAAAAAGGCTGAAATGCTCACACACACACACACACACACACACACACACACACACTACATTATTGTGTGTGAAAAGAAACTAGTCATGTAAAACCACATAATTCCATTCATATGAAGTGTCCAGAGAAGGCAAATCTGTAGAGGCTAAAAGTAGTTTATGATTGCCAAGTCTGGGGAGATTGGGGAGAATGAGGAGTGACTGTTGGTGGGTACAGGATTTATTTTGGGGATGATAAAAGTGTTTGTTTTTCATAAGGTTTTCCAAGGCCTATTATATTTTGGAAGTGGATGACCAATCCTTCTTTCTAGTCTGTCTTAGAGTACTGAGAATCAACAATGTCAGTCTCGAAACAAAGGTGCGTCTGATCTAAGTCATGGTCTTTGCAATTACTTGCTGTGCCTCAGAAAGCTGGACAGTGACTAATTCTCACCACTGGACTGATAGATAACATCATAATGTTGTTGTTAAGTGCCCTTGAGTCATAGAAAGCACATAGCGATCCTGTGCACTTGTGTAACTTTCATTGTTTCTCTAAGTTCATAGAGTTTCCAGAGGCAAGCTATTTCTGAAGTGGATGCCACTCCTACTCCCAAGCCTCTTTTAGTCTGGGAGCTCCACCAAACACTGTCCACAATGGGTAACCATTATCGCATTTGACACATCAGTGTCACAGTATTTATCATCACAGCAACCACGAGTTACCTCTGTACTGCAGAAAAATATTGAAGCTGTCAACAACTTCATCTTACTTGGATCCATAGTTACCC